TGGGGTCAGCTGTCCCGGCTGTGTCCCCTCCCAACTTCTTGTGCACCCCCAGCCTTCTCGCTGGTGGAGTGGGGTGAGAAGCAGACTCTGTGTAAGCACTGCTCAGCAGTAACCCTCTACTTCTTATGACAAAAACACTTTGTCTTTTTAGGAAAGCTTCTGTTTACAGGTAGCTGTCTCTCCCCTTATGAAAAACTAACTGGTGTCTTATTCTCCAGTGTAGTTTGTATATGATAGGGCTGGCCTTCATCCCTTTGAGACATGAACTGATTTGCCAGGAAGCACTCCACCTGAAGCTTCTGCTGTGTTTAGCTGCTTGCAGAATTCCTTCTTTCAGGTTGCATGCTGTAATTCCTTTGGGAATATTGTGAAGTTCCACCAAATAATGTTACCAGCAACCCACTGATGTTCCTGTCATTGTTCCAGTGTCCATCAATTGGGAGAATCAATAGATCTACCTTATTGTATTAGTGTGGTGGGGAAGTGTTTATAAGCTCTAAAAATAGTTCCCCTTACTTGTAGAAATCTACACTGGTGTTCTACAAAAGAAGAGTGTTTATCCAGTGTGTGAGGCTGCAGAATTTGTCACTTACCACTCCTGCACACGTATGACAAATGTCTTGTCTTTTTGTACATGCTAGCTGTCATGCTTTAGGCTAGGAATGGCTTTAGTGACACATTGCAGCTAAAACTGCATGTGTGGAACTTGAGTTGACTGATACGCACGTAGTATATTGTAATATGGTTTTTACAGCAGTTTTTCTTTGTGGGAGGAAAGTGGTTGGTGTTCATGTGACACAAGTCCAGTGAGAGAGTTGTGTTCATTGCTTACCTGCTGCAGTATGTAGCAACGTAACAAATTGCCTTTTATTCTTCAGCATAGAGTAACTTTTCAGGTTTTTCTTGTGTGTGCATTCTTCCACCGCGGCTGCAAATTTTTCTCAAGTAATGGTGTGTGGGAAGTGTGTGCATTTTGCCACCAGTGTGGGGCCTCAGTAAAAGTTAATACTGATGTTCTCAGGGAGAGATTCTATGTACGGCGACTGAAGATGGATTTGGTGTCACCCATACTAGGCAGATTTACCAACTAAAAAGTTAAATAAATAAATAAATCACTATGTTCTCTATACAAGCATTTTAATTTGGACATAATATTTTTGCCTGAAATGACTGTTTACTGTTTATTTAAAAGTGCTTTTAACACATCAGTTCACATTTTTGAATTGAATTTCATGTTTACTAACTTATGAATGAGAGAATTACCCACTAATTTATGCTTTCTCTTGTTACTAAAATAGGTTACACAAGCAAATAATTCAGGATCACAGTGTGAGTGCTATGTTTGTAATGTGAGTGTTCAGGAAAAGAAAACATTGTAGTAAGAAATTTATAAGATACAAGCTTTCTCTTCAATGTATGCTGTATTTTTTTGTTTTGTTTAAATGAGCTTTGAAGAAATCTAAGATTTCTTTTTGAGTACTTGAAATAAAGAGAGAGATTTCTTTTCAGGCTTTAGATTTCTTTTAGGAGTGAATTACACTTTGTGTTTTTCAGGGTTTTACAGTTCTTTGATAAAATTTATTTGGCTTGTAACTTACCTGCAGTGACAGGAGGCCTCTTAGAGGCTGTAGCATCTTTTCTTCTCCTCCCAGCACTGCTTGGCGTAGTGTTGCATGATGTGGGAGAGCTTATACAACCCTGTTCTAGCTTTTCAAAATTCAGATCAGTGCCAAGGCTGTCTTTTTTTTAGAGAAATTACAAAAAAAAAAAAAAACCACCACAAACAAAAAACCCAACCAAAAAAGGTTAATTTGGCACTAGGGAGCATATTCTGTTCTGTGGTGAACATTATGTGATAATGCATGATGTGGGAGAGCTTATACAACCCTGTTCTAGCTTTTCAAAATTCAGATCAGTGCCAAGGCTGTCTGTCTTTTAGAGAAATTACAAAAAAAAAAAAAAACCACCACAAACAAAAAACCCAACCAAAAAAAAAGGTTAATTCGGCACTAGGGAGCATATTCTGTTCTGTGGTGAACATTAATGTGATAATTTCCACTTCTTTGTTTGCATTTGTTTGTTTCAGGAGCAACAGAAGGTGATCAGCCTCCACATGCTTCATCATCTTTCTCCTCCTCTTCATCCTCTTCTGGGAGCAGACAGAGACCTGAGATTGGATCTTTTCTTAGAAAAAAGAAAACTAGTGATATATACTTTGTTACACTTGTGTGGGCCATTGTCATTGTCCAGATCTGGCTGAATTTCTGGATTGTGCAGCTATTGCCAGTGCCTTTTGCAGGTAATCGATTATTAGAAATGTATGTTAAATGATGACTTTGGATAGCCTTAGGCTTTGTGTTAAATAAATTAGAAGGAAAGGCTTGTAGGCTTGTATGAGTTTTAAATTAAAACTTTTGAAAAAGTTTTTGTTAAGACAACATGAATTGTAGGAACATTGATGTGCACTGTCTGTTACCATGTAGTGGACAACTCTGTAAAATTGCTTTGTCTGTTGGCTGTTGTAGTTACCTGGAGTAATTTAGTGCCATACCTTACATTGTAAGAATACTTCTGGTTTAGAGTACTTTGTTTTTCTTCCTCTTGATGCCATGTTTTTCATGTTTTTGCACCTATAGATAAAGAATATTTTAGCTGTTATTCAGTAGTGAAGTACAGCTCATGTTAACTTTTAATTTCCAATTAAAAATGGGTTGCTAGGCTCTGTGGACAAATCGCAAGATAAACTTGATTCTAATTGTAGCTCTGAGGTTAATTAGCTTTGTTGCTTCACATCTACATGCATCTGTTCTCTTATATATCAAGCAAGAATAGCTTCAAATAGGAACAGTTATGATAGCTATCTAAAGAGGTTATTTTGCGACTTTTTCCAATACTCTTTTGGGGGGTGAATAGGGAAGATGGGAACTCTGGAAATACGCATGAGCTACTATGAATCTGAAGGTATTTCCTCCCATCCACCTACTGTAAACAAAGTGAGTTTCCTAATTTGCTTGGATTTTCTCTAAACTTCAGTTAAAAAGCTAATTTTCAGCATTTTGTGATGTATTTAATGCTTAAATGTAGCTATTTTCCCTTTTACCAAGTATGGTGGATTGGCCCCAGCTAGTGGCCAAGTACCCACAGAGACAGTCACTCTTTTCCCGTCTTCCAGTGTGGGCTCATCCATGAGCTGCAGTCCCTTTGGGGAGGTACCAGCTCGGGCGTCTCCTCATCCCTAGGCCACAGTTCCTTCAGGAGGTGTACCTGTTCTGGCATGGGTCCTCCATAGGCCATGGTCCCTCTGAGTAGTCTGCCTGCTCCACCGTGGAGCACTTCTACTCCCCTGGCCTTTTTATTCCCTCTGTTCATCCCTCTGTTCCTTCTTCCTCTCTATTCACTTGTTCTCTCTGTGTGCCCTCCTCTTCTCCCTCTCCAGTGTTTTCTGTCCTTTCTTAAATATATTTTCACAGAGGCACCACACCCGTGCCTGATGGGCTCAGCTTTGGCATGTGGTGGGTCCATTGTGGAGCCCCCTGGAACCGACTGTGTCTGGCACAAGGCAGCCCCTGGTCTCTCCCCATGGAGGCCACCCCAGTGGCCACCCTGCTACCAAAACCTTGTGATTTACACCTAATACACAAAGCCATTATAAACCATCTAGTTGTGCATCTGGAAATCATGACTGTGGGGCCACGCTTACAGGTTCAAGGGACTGTGAACTCTGAGAGGCATGGTGAATGAGAGGCGCGGTGAAAGGAACAGCTGCACATTTGGCTGTGGCACTGTGGCAGCAGCTAAAGGGTAACGTGATGGTTAGGCATATAAATAGCTGAATAGAGGGTAAGAGGAGAGAGGGGTTTGATCTTTGTTTCATTCCCATGTAGTTGCTACAGAAGAAACTGCCCTGTTTTGGTGTCTGGGCATCATGGGAAATGGCGATGGCAGGTTGGATGTAGCTCATAAATAAATCATAAAAATTATAAAGGCATTAGATAATAGATTTTAGACTTAGTAGAAGCAGAGCTTATGTGGCTTAATTTATTGAAGAGTCAAGAAGTGACTTAACTACTGTGTAAAAATACCTACTTGGGTGGAAGGAAAAATGGATGCAATAGTTTTGCAGTTAGGCAGACAACAATGAATGGTTTTAAGCTTGAGCCAGACAAATCTAGATTAAAGTGCACATCTATAACTGAAATGGATGAATACCACTGCTGCTAGTCATTAGGTCTAAAATAGCTACCCGAACAATAAACTCATGCCAAAATAGAGATTAATTTTGAGAATATTTGTGACTTGTTGCCTTAGCATGACACTCATTAAGTGCTTTTTCTTGGCATATAACTGAATATAACTAAAACACCACAAAAATATTATGAAAAGGCAGTATAGTGATGAACAGAGCCAAATTTAGAACAGTGGATCACATTAAGTGTCAGAAAGTGAATGATGATAACCTGGATCGTTAAAACAGACGTGGTATTAAAAATACTGAGTAGTGGAAAATAGGAAGGCTTGTAAAGCAAGTTTCCTTGCAACTGTTCAAGTTTAAGGAGACTAATAACTTCAAGCACTTCTGAGACCTTAAGGAGAATGCTTCTAGTATGAAAAAAAATAAAATAACCCCCCAAAACCTTAAATAGAAAGGTGTTAATTTCACCAGAGTTCCTTATATTGGTAGACAAGACTTACGTGAAGTAGCATTTAGATTATTAGAAATATCTTGGTACCATTAACATTTTTCTTTGAATGCATTTGTACTTCAGTAGAACGAGACACTCTTTTAAAATTGCTTAATGTAGAGGGTGGAAAAATTATACCATAATTATACCATAAAATGGAAAGGTGAAAAAATTACTTTTGATTTCAAAAGCTAAGCAATAAACCAGGTTGTGGACCACTTGTAGCATTTTGTTCAGTGATGTGAGCCTGGGAATCCCAGTATTGTCTCTTTTTAAGATCTTTCATTTACTTCCTTGCTTGTTCTGTTGTATGCTTTTTTAAATTACGTTTTTGTCTTCAGGTCATTTTCTGCTTCCTGGAGATGTTTGGAATTTCTTATTATGCAGCCTTTCTCTTCTTTTGCTCACAACTTTCTAATAACAGTGCTCCTTTAGCTTTTTTTCTCTTGCCTCTTTTTAACCTAATATAATTACCGCTGTGTGATTGACTGTAGCACCTCCTGACATCACCTTTGCAATGAGCGTACACTCAGTTATTTTAGAAGATACTATTTACACACGTACTTTTAAATAATAGCAGAAGGTTAGAATGCCATTTCAGGTATGTTGTTCACCTTGTAAAATGCAAGCTTGCCCTGTTTTGCTGAGTAGCAGTTTGAGTATTTACCATGAGTTGCATTTCATCATACAAAACTTCAACCTGTAAGTTAGGTGCTGGCACTCGCACTGTATTTTCTCCTTTTTTGTATGTTGCCACGTGATCTTTAGTAGAAAGATTCTTAAGTGTGTGTTCTGTTTCTTCAAGAGAATAAATCCTGTATTTGCCACGTGGTGGTGCCAGAGGGTAAGTAAACCAAATGTCATGTTGAACAAGAACGTGAACTATTACACAAGTGGCTTACAGATAATAGGCTCTTGTGGAACTTTGATAAATGCCCTGTGGATATTAAAAGTTAACCTTTTCGGCTATGTATGTCATTTTACACATCTCCAAGTAGAAGCATGATGTGAATTTCTGAGGATGAGGGAATTACTGTGGTGTCGATGTATGGCAGTAAGTAAGGAATCTAGTTTGGAGAATAGTCTTTCATAACAAAAAAAAGCTTTATTAAAAGTACTCTTGAATGTAATGATAGTGAGTTCCGTATCAAATGTTGCTATAAATACGATCTAATTGGAGGAATACTGCTAGCATTTTCACAGAAAGTTATTTTACTGTGTAAGTAGAATTTTTAACGATTGTAATTTTTGATCTACATGTGGTGTTCACTGTTACTAAATTCTGGTTTGAAAAAAATGGGTAGAAATTAGGAGAATGATGTGATTCTGTTGCTAATAGTTTCACTTTGTTTTCCTTTAGAACCATAGTTTTCAGTATTTGGGGATGCAGCATAATTTTGTTTAGGGGTTTGTGTATCAGTAGTTCATGGTAGGACTGGGTTGTGAGACCTTCTGGTCTGTTACTGCTACATATACTAATTATGATCCTTTAAGTTGATGTATCTTGTAATGATGTTTTTGTGACTGGTATGTTTGCATCAATACCCCAGTAAAATCAGTTGTAATACAAATCTTTGTTTATGATGTGAATTAACTCCTCTGTTCTGATGTTAAATTTGCTAGGGGCTTTGGAAGATTACTCGCTTTTCTTTTCAGTGATGAGAAGATAGATAATTTGAGTGGTGTAACTTTTTGTTGAATAAAAAAAGAATATGGCATATATTTCCTGACTAAGGTCTATTAGCTTCCAAGGAAAGTTTCATATGTATCAATGCTTTTTTGCTTTTACATTCTTGATTGTGATGATTCACAAGTTTTGCATGTATACTCGGTAAGTGAGGGAGAGCAGAGCCATTACAGAATTGGAACCATAAGCCTTATGCAAAAGTCTCTGGGCTTTGTTTCATGGCTTTATTTCATTTTAAACGGACATGAGCTTTTATTTCTGTAACTGTAATGCTAGACATTTCTAGTGGTGTTGAGAAGCTCTTTATTTTACAGAGGATATATGTTAGGAGTGTTGGAGAAAAGCTGTTTGTGGTAGAAATGCTGCTTTTGGGGGGGGAAAAAATAGTATGTGTTTCTTCTGTTGTCTAGTTTTGAGGAGCAGTATGGATTTTTCTGGAGCTTTGTGTGATCATCTTCAAGCCAAGATAAAAAGCTGATCTCAAAATAGTGTTTTTGATGTTTAAAAGCAAAATTAATCAGTAGTTGTATTTAAGTTGAAGGTTTAAATGAACACTTCTTTACTGTGAAATTACACATGATCTGTTGTCAGTTCTTAAATGAAAGATACGGCTTTAACAGTACAGAAGGCCTAAAACTTAAAAGAAAATTTTCAGCCTCAATTCTTATGTGTAGCATACTGTTAAGTTCTGAATGTGGTACTTCATGTGTAGTCATCTGGTGTGGTGTACGTGTGAAGATGTGATAAATCCGCTGTACTGGAATCATGGAATGGCATCTGCTTATTCCGGGCCTTGCTCAAGTCTGTTAGCTGCATAATCGGGTAGTGCACAGGCACCTTTCTTCTGCTGCCATCTAAATTCCATGTGGATAAGCATGGCTGTAAAGCGAGAAAGGAGATTAGTGCTAAAACCACTTGAAAATTCTGAAAGTGCTTTCTAATGGGAAATAAAACTCAAGAATCTTTTTCTTTCTTTTTCATAGGTCTTTCAGAATGGAATAGATGCGCAGTCTTCGGTGCTCCTCTGAAATCTCTAATACTTAATTTCCTTCTTGTGGTTACAGTTTGGGCACTTAAAAAACTCGTGGTTCACTTTGGAGTTTTGAACTTCATGGCAAACCATTGCAAAAGTTGGTGGCAACTTGTTGAAAATTTTGTGAAGGAACGTCAGGAAGCTCTTGCTCCACGGCCCATCAGAGGGCTTGGAAGAGTCATGCTAAAGCTTGACAGTAAGGTATTTCTACTTATTTCCTTAAGTAACCTGAAAGTTTGTTTTATTCTCTGTTTATTGTATGCTGAGACTTTAATTCTGAAATAAATGTCTGTCACTAATGGACATGTCTCTTGTGTAAAACTGTTACCTGTTTTATGGTGTATTTTAAACTATGTCTCTTCTGTCACTATTCACACTTAAGTACACATTTAAACTTCGTTAAATGATTACATGCAAAGCTTGACAGAAGTCATTTTTTAAATGTTGAGTTAGCGCTAAAAGATCCTTTATCTGAGTAAGGCAAACTTCTCATGGTTCAGTCACCTTACCTGATTACAAAGATTTTGAAGTTAAACTTAAAAAGCTTTCATTTGAAGGATGAGACGTTCTTACTTCTGTTGTGAAAAATTAATTTAAAAAGCAACCCATTTTATTCTGTAAGTAGGGCCTGAGCTAGTTCGAACGCATTTGTTTATACTGTGTGGAAGTATAGTTGTTGAACACAGTGGCGTGGTGGTGCAGGAGGGAGGCTTCTCTCTGTAAGAGAAGAAATATGTGGGATAAGGTATTTGGGAAGTACCATAGAATAAGGCTTCTGTGCTCCCCTCCCTCCTCCCCCAGTCAAAATATGCCCACATTTGCATTGCAAATTGCAGAGTTGGAAAGCTCCGTAAAATTTATTAAGGCTCCTCCATTCAGAATTGTAAGTTTTGACTTAACCTGATAGATTATTTTGTTTGTAACAGCTATGCCAGTGTGTAAGAATGTGCTTTCTGTAACTGTGTTGTTGAAGTATTCTCTGCTTTAGAAAAAGCTGTTACCTCAGAGTTTCTATAACTGAAGAGCTGAACCCTGTAAGTACATTTGTCAGAGTATCTGTACCTCGGCAGATCCGTCTGCAGTTCATAGCTCTGAATTCCTACAGCAAAAGGAAGAGCTTAAGCCCAGATCTAATGGGTAAATGGATGTCAGAAGGTCAACAAAAGCATTAAAATGGCTGTAGGAAATAAGTAAAGATTTGACAGCGTTCATTGAGGAAGAATTTGAAAAAGGAAAAGTCTTTTGGAATACAGCTATGAACAAGATAAAGGGGGTTTCCAAAGGTAGCTGAAAATATTAACATGTTAGGATAAAAGCTTACGTTATACAAAGCTTTTCATTAAAAGCTTTTGTTCTGTAAGTAAGAAGACTCTAGACACAATATCATATATATTGTATTTCATGAGTTGTCAAGTTTAGTATCCTTGTCTTGCATAACTATATGATACAGTATCCTTCCTAATTCCACTAAGTCTTTTCTCCTTAAAGAAGGTAGGGCTTTTGTCGTAATGTGCAGCAGAACTTCCCACTCTTCAGATTAAATGTGTTTAAGGTCAGTTTATATTCATGTTGTTCTTGTCGAAGCAAAAGAACAGTGTTGGCAAAACTCATTTGTCCATCTCCTCTGTCCCTCCCTTTTTTTAGATGGCAGTCATATTCCTTCTGAGTCTGTGCTGTGTGTATTAAAGCAATTCAAGCTCTTTTAGCCGTTACAAGAAGGACACTTGATACTCTGCATGATTCTGTTGTCCTCGTTTGTGCCTATTCTAATTACAGTTCACCTGGCTTTATCATGGGTGGCTGGAATTAGATGTGGTCTTCCAATGCTTATCACACTAATGCTTTCATTTCTTTTAAGTTCTACTGGATATGCTTATTCTGTGCATTGTAGGATCATGGATGCATCTTATTTCTGAGAATTTGGGAAGCAATGCCATAGGATATTGGCAATTGTGATTTTTTGTGGGGACAGGGAAAGGCAAGGAATGAAAGTTGGATTACCAAACATTTTGGCTTCAGTAGGCACTGTTGAAGAGGAAGTAAAAATATGCAAACACAAAATAGAAATTCATGGAGTAAATTGTTACAGCTTACCTTTTATGAGTGTGTGTGGGAAATCAAGATTGAAGGATCATTTCCTTTGCAGTTAGATGTTTGTTTTTTTTAATATTTTATTTGTACTTTCTTTTCCTGGGAGCTGAAGCTGCTTAGTGATTTTTTTTTTTTTTGGTTGGTTGGTTTGGTTTGGTTTTTTTGTATACTGAGTTAATTGGAGGCTGAATCTCAGCATCAGGACGTATTGGGGCTCTTAGCTAAGTACAGCAAGCCATTGACAAGGTCTGTTTCATACAAATATCTAGTGGTACTACTTGGTCTTTCCAAAGTGGTATGCCCGATGAGGAAATAGTTCCAGTTTTGAGTAAAAGGTAGTGAGGACAAGGAAGACATCTTAGAACGGCATGTCTCTTTCTCCCAAACGGAAGCTTAGCAGGCTAGTGTAGGTGGTCCGGAAAATAACCCATTGTGAGAAATTATGGAAGAGTACTGCTCATGCATGCAGATCTTTGAGCTTTACTGATTATGTCTGTTTCTTAAATAAAAGCAGTAAGAAAAGAACTGCTCTTCTTCTTTCCCACTGCTCATCAATCTCTCGTTATCTTGGAAATGCAGACAAATTTGAACTGAAGAGAAGTTCTGATCAAGAGGAAAGAAAGTAGGGCATTGCTTTTTATTTTCTTTATAAACAGTAGGTCAGGCTGTGCCTGTATGTGCAGGCCTGCTTTAAATATGGACTATGGAAATAGGATGTCCTTACTGTATTATTTAGTCCCTGGTTGTGCAGTTGCCCCATGGAGCCAACAGACGCAGCAGTTCAGATATGAGAGACTTCCTGAAGGAAAGAGTACGGAGGCTTCTGTTGTCATCCATCAAGTCATCTTAAAACTTAAAAGATATGGTGTTGTGCATGTTTTTATCAACAGTCAAGAACTAATAATTTGCTTCACTGATTTTTTTTTTTTTTTTTTTTAAAGATGACTTATCTTTTAATATGGTGACTGTAGTTTTATTTTGATTAGAGTTTGCGAGGGAGTTCAGCAGTATAAACAGTTGCTCAACTGCATGCACTGGACTTACTAATTAGAATGTGCTAGTATTCTGCATGCATGCTTTCTGGTAGACTTCAGTGAATCGTAGTTATTATATGTTTTTTTCTAGGTATAGCATACTAGAATTTTATATATGGAGGACTGTAATAGATTGTTTGGACTTCAGGCAAAGTCAAGGTTTGGTTCTTCTGGTACCAAGTTTAGCACATAGTTAAAACAAGCACAGAAAACAGGCAGAATCTCTACTAGTGCATATATTATTCTAGGAAATACTTCCATAAACATGTAAGATCTTATATAAATAGTTTTCCAATAACATACTGGAAAAGCAGCTGTAGCCTTGTTAATTTTGGATGACCTGAAGATTAGAATTAAGCTGTAGCCTATTTTTAAGTGTAGATTGATAATGTTTGTAGCACTACTTAAACATCAGTATTGGTAAGATAGTAGGCAGGTAGAGCCGCCCAGATATTGTCTTAAACATTAATAAAAAAGATTGTTATTTTTGTCATATAATGTTATTTCCTAGTTATTGTATTTGTCAAACCACAACACAATTCCAGGAGGCTGAAATTATAGAAAAATACCAAAGACTTCCTTTCACATTCTGCTAAAATCTCAGGCTAACAATAGAGCTCTAGCTTTTGTTGTATTGGAGTTGCAAAGTGCAGAAATACAGCCATGAGATCTATGTTTTTTCCAAACTGAATCTAATGTATAGTGGGTTTTAGTAAGCAGAAGTAAAGTTAAAGTCAAGAGTATGTCACTGAGTCAGTAAACAACTTTACCTTTCTTCACTGAGAAACTATTCCATAGGTGAAGAGGTAAAATAGAAACAAATTCTACAGTGTCAGTTTGAGGCTTTTCAAGCTTTGTCATTGCTTTCCATTACTGTGATTCTTTCCATGAGTAGTAAAAGTGGGTGCTTTGTGACATATTTTATTTTCATGTTTCCTGATGTTCATATTTCTTTGTAAATCTGCTTCTTGCTTCTGATATAACTTAATTAACATTCTGAGATTTTTTTAATTTGAAATGTTCTTACATTTTGTTTTCATTGGGAGCTAATACAATTTCTGGCAACTGGTGAAAACACTAGATTTTTTTTTGAGCATTCAATGATCCTGTTTTCAGGGAGAAACAAACTTCACTTACTTGATCTTAACCTCTAACACAGATGAATAATAACATTAAAGCTTTTCACTGCTGTGATTGTGCTGCTAACTGATTACTAATGGCTAGAATTAAGAGTATAGTCCTACATAAACTAGGTCTTAAAATGGGTGTACTTGAGGAGTATGGGTGAGAATTAGCAAGGAAAGCAACTGTAGTACAAAAGGAGAAATTGACTGTTGAGAAGTGCAAAGAACCTTCTGCACAACCAATAAAATTATATGAAATCCATACATTTATTTGATCTACAATATACTGTTGTGTGTATATTGGATTTAATTACGTATTTGATGGTGTGCCATTCAATGTGAATGTTGTAATATGAATGTGGTACTAAAAAACATATAAAATTTGTTTAACAATAGTTGACATAATAGGAGTGTTTTGAAATACATAGGAAGCTCCCTGAATGGGAGTATTAATGCAATAAACAAGTATCTCGTGTTAAGTTTTGGTGTTTCAGTAAAGTGCCCTTCTCAGAGTACTTTTACAAGTCCTGCTCTGAATTCTGAAATGTTAAGTCTCAGTATAATTAAACTGGAATTGCCCAGATTATGCTGATAGCTCTGTTAATATCATTAAAGTTGTTCGTATTTGTTATATCCCTCTTTGTTTCAAAAAGTGCATGGTAATAGTAAAATCTAGATTCTTGCATTAGAAGTTGTTATAATCTTTTCTTCCTATTGCAATTTACCTTTGTGTCTGGAACAATTTCATTTTCATTCTGTGGATGACTTTGCCTGCCTCTCATTGCTTTTTTTGCCCTCTCTATTACTGCATTTTTCAATAATTTTCCACTGTGTTCTTGTCTTTTTTTCCCTTTATCTTCCATCTCCCCCTGCCACTGACAAGCTGTGGCACTGGCTTAATGAGAAGGTAAACAAACAGAAAAATTGTGATTCCAGCTAATGGATTCTGTGG